GATTTTGAGGCAGATGATACAAGTGTTTCAATGTGCTCTGAGAAAGTTAACTGTGAATCAAAGACTACGCCCAAGTCTTTAACAGTGTCATTTTTAATAAGATTTTGGTCATTGATGTAATAAGCAGAAAACAAATGATTTATTTTGCGAGTAAAAGTCACAAAACAGCACTTAATAATGTTCAAAAGAATTTTATTTTCTACAGACCATCTGTAAATCATGTCTAGGTTGTCCTGAAGAAGCTTCATGTCATTAAGATTATCAATGGAAGAATAAATTTTTAAATCATCAGCAAATCCAAGTCTAGGACATGTAAGTGCCCTCAATAAGTCATCAATAAATAATATAAAAAGAAGAGGTCCCAGGTTGGAACCTTGAGGTACACCTGACGTTGACACATACTCATGTGATAAGTAACCATTATAAAAGACATAGTTAATTCGTGCAACCAAGTAGGATTCAATAAGTTTAATAAATGATGGAGACATGCCAAAAAAACTGAGCTTATTCAGCAGCAAGTTGTGATCAACACGGTCAAACGCACTAGAAAAGTCCGTGTAGATTACATCCACTTGTCCACCTTTATCTAATTCTTCAGAAATATATTGCGTTACTATCATGAGGTTTGTAATGGTCGATTTACCAGTTAAAAAACCGTGTTGATAAGGAGAGATGTGAAGATGAGTATTAAGATAGATGGTACTGTATATAACTTGTTCAAATATTTTCGAAAAGTTATTTAATATAGCTATTGGTCTATAGTTTTTTAGTTGAGAGATATCATTCTTCTTATAAATCGGAACAACTCTAGCACGTTTCCACAATATGGGAAAACAACATGAAGAAATAGCTAAGTTAATAATTGTACATAAAGGTTTAGCCAAAACGTATCTGCAATCACGAACTAAAAAGCTGGGTATCAGATCATCACCTGCTGTATTTTTGTTTGAAAAGGTTGACATTATTTTTATTAAATCCTCTTCACATACCTTTTGTAAATTGAAAGTATTATAAGAAGTGTGAGTATCAACAACTGGAACATTTGATGAATCACTAAAAGATTGAGAGAATGTGCTTGCAAAAGCATTTACAATTTCACTTGCAGAGTCATACATTATATTACCATCATACATTCTGCCCGGAATCCTGGTTGTGCCTTGCTTCATGTGTAAGTACTTGAATACTTCCTTGGGGTCGGAATGAAGGGATTGTTCAATTCGATTCATATAAGAAGCATAAGCTGTAGAGAGAAATTTTGAAGTCTTTGGGATGTTTAAAATTTTGACAATATCCATAATCTTAAGCAATTAGTTATTTGGAGTTCTTTGGATATTTCACGACCAAAATTATCACTACTTTGATAAAATGATTTAGATCACGAGATTTTTGAATCTTAAATATGTAGTAATAATTTTAAAATTCTCCATATTTCTCTTTTAAAATCTTTAGAATTTTTAGATTCTCTACAAGCTTTAGTATTACTAAAATATATAGAATGTCTAGAGTCTCTAAGATCTCTACAATCTGCAGAATTTCTAATGTCTTTGGGATTTTTGAGATCTCTGGTATATATAGTTTTTCTGTCATTTTGACCATTTCTACTATTTCTATAATCCAGGAATCTTTTGTATTTTTTGGAACTTTTTTAAAAGTTTATTTTAAGATTTGTATGTTTTTTACAGACACTTTTTTTAGAATATTTTTAGAATCTTAGGATCCTCAAATCGTTAGAATCTTTGAATTGTTTCATGTCTGCGGAGACTTTAGAATGTTTATAATCTTTAGGATTTTTATGCTGATTAGAATTTTTGTGATCTTTTATATCTTTAGGGTTTGGGATCTGATATTTTAATATGTTCAAGTGTATTGACTGTTTTTCTTTAAGATCTCTATGGTCCTTATTATCTTCAAACTCTTTAGAATCTCTAGAAAACAGGATTTCTATGGTTTCTAGGATGCAGGAATTTTTTGTATTTCAAGAATTTTAAGATGGTTTTAAAGTTTCTATGATCCATAAAAGTTTTTTTTAAGATTTGTAGGATCTTTTTCGATCTTTACTATCATTCCAGGCTCCCTATAAACTTAAAATCTTTAAGATATTTTCAAGATATTTAAATCTTTTAAAAATTTTAGAACCTTTATAACCATTAGAATCTTTCGGATCTATATGATGTTTATAATATTTGTGAACTTTTTTATCTTTTGGGTTTTTGGAATCTTTATAGGATATTTAAGATCACAAGATCTTTTGTATTTTTGGGAATTCGAAGATGTTTTTACGATTTTTAGGGTCTTTTAAAAGTTTTTTTTAAGTTTTTCAAGAATTCTTTTAGGTCTATGTAGTATCTTTTCAGTCTTCAGGGACTTAAAATTGCCAGAATCTTTGATAGCTTCAGCCACTTTATGACCATCAGTGTCTTGGAAATCTTTAATATTTTTACAATTTATGTGATCTTTTAGATCTTTGGGGTTTTGGGACCTTTGTTGTTTCAAGATCGTTGAGGTTATTGAGATCGTTAATATCTTTAGAATCTCTTTCGGTTCTCGAGGAGTCTTATTAACTTCAGAATCTTTGTAATATAAAAATATTGACGATGTCAAAGATCTTTAAAAAAAAGTCCCTAAATTGTCTGGGTATCTTATTATCCTCAAGATCTTTTTAAGACACATTTAGCATCTTTAACGTCTTTAGAATCTTTCCGACCTCTGGCATATTTAACGTTTTTATTATCTTTAGAACTGTTAGAATCACACGAATTTTTGGAATCTTTATGATAATTAGGATCCTTCGGATTTCTAATTTTTTTTAACATCTGTGTACTATTTATGATTTTCGGGGTATTTATTTGCAACCTTTACTCTTGAATATTATATAGACATTTTGAAATTTTAGAATTTGCAGAAAAATAACTTTATAATTTTTTGAGGTCTTTGGGATATTTAAAATTTTGACAATCTCCATAATATTAAGCAATTAGTTATTTGGAGTACTTTGGATTATTCACGACCAAAATTATCACTATTTTGATAAAATGATTTAGATCACGAGATTTTTGAGTCTTAAATATGTAGCAATAATTTTAAAATTCCCCATATTTCTATATTAAAATCTTTAGAATTTTTAGATTCTCAACAAGCTTTAGTAACACTAAAATATATAGAATGTCTAGAGTCTTTAAGATCTCTACAATCTGCAGAATTTCTAATGTCTTTGGGATTTTTGAGATCTCTGATATATATAGTTTTTCTGTCATTTTGACCATTTCTACTATTTCTATAATCCAGGAATCTTTTGTATTTTTTGGAACTTTTTTAAAAGTTTATTTTAAGATTTGTATGTTCTTTACAGACTCTTTCTTTAGAATATTTTTAGAATCTTAGGATCCTCAAATCGTTAGAATCTTTGAATTTTTTCAGATCTGCGTAGACTTTGGAATGTTTATAATAGTCTTTAGGATTTTTATGCTGATTAGAATTTTTGTGATCTTTTATATCTTTAGGGTTTGGAATCTGTGATTTTAGTATGGTCAAGTTTATTGACTGTTTGTCTTTAAAATCTCTATGGTCCCTATTATCTTCAAACTCTTTGGAATTTCTAGACAACAGGATTTCTATGGTTTCTAGGATCCAGGAATTTTTTGGTTTTCAGGAATTTTAAGATAGTTTTAAGGTTTCTATGATCTTTAAGAGTGTATTTCAAGATTTGTAGGGACTTTTTCGATCTTTACTATCATTTCAGGCTCCCTATAAACTTAAAATCTTTCAGATAGTTTCAAGATATTTAAATCTTTAGAATTTTTGCGATCTTTTATATCTTTGGGGTTTTTGGAATCTTTCTAGGATATTTAAGATCACAAGATCTTTTGTATTTGTGGAAATTTCAATAAGTTTTTACGATTTTTAGGGCATTTAAAAGTTTATTTTAAGATTTTCAAGAATTTTTTTAGATCTATGTAGTATCTTTTCTTTTTAAGTGTTTAGGGACTTAAAATTTCCAGAATCTTTAATAGCTTACAATTTATGTGATCTTTTAGATCTATGGGATTTTTGGGACCTTTGTGGTTTTAAGATCATTAGGGTTATTGAGATCGTTAATATCTTTAGAATCTCTTTAGGTTCTCGAGGAGCCTTATTAACTTCAGATTCTGTGAAAGATTTTTTTTAGGTGTGTAGAATTCTTTCCTTAAGTGTGTGAATCTTCAAAATACTAAAGTATTTGCTATTTTTCCAGTTTTAAAGTCGTGTATATATCTTGAATTTTCAGAATTTACAAAATAATAACTTTGCCTTTTTGCTGTGTGTTTGAGCCTAAAATTTTATCTAGTTACATTTTTGGAGTACTTGGATTATTCGGATTCATTAAGATCGTTACGATCACCAGATTACAAAATGTTGAAATATCTAAAATCTTTATAAACTAAAAATCTATAATTATTATTAATACCTAAAAATAATTATCTAGCATCTTTGGCATCTTCAGAATGATTAGAAACTTTGGAATTTCTAAAATCCCTAACATCTCCACAATCTCTGGTAACCTTAAAATCGTTAAAATGTAGATTCTCTAGAATCTCTTATAACCTTTATAACTTCCACTGCGTCTTTGGATTAGAATCTTTGGTGTACCACGGTTTTTTTTTGCTAAAATAGAACTGCCATCTCAATTGGCATTTATTTCAACCAATTTTTCCAGAGTTGCTGATATAATATCTTTAAAACTTGAATGTAACAATTTAGCACTGAAAGCTAGTAACAAATTGTTTTCAAAAACTGTCCAGTGTTCAACGTACAATAGGTGAAACAGTTTTTCAGAAATTTAAGTCTGTTTTGGAAAAAAGCAGGTTTTAATACCTTGTCGCTTGTGAGTAAAATTTTGGAAGGAGGAGAATTCGAAATTTGCTCCAAAACCTCTGTCGATAATGACAAAAACACTTTTCTGCGAGTAATTTAATACACCAAATACAAAACCACAACTGGAAAACACATCACGAATTTGCTACCTTTTTTGTATGTCCCTGCATCAGTTTCACCAACCATTTTAATTAATGCCGGTGCTTGGGTTGGTATCGGCGCCTGTTTCCCGCACAACGATGGGTATCCGGGGGTATCGCCACACTTTGTCGCATTCGGACAACTGTCACATGGATTGTCCGTTCTTTTGTATATTCTTCCCAATTTTAGATTTCCAGCAATTTGTGGGTCAATGGTACTCGCGTAATTGCAGATGAGAGTATAACGCCAAGACTTCTTGTTTTCAGGATTATAAACCATCGAACATCCCATTCGATCCGCACTCCACCAAATCAACTGGGTGTAATGTCCAATACCATGACCCGCTCCAGGAAAATGTTCTACATAGTCTTCAGCTTCTATTAATGCCACTTCTTCATACCTATAAAACGAAGAAAGTTTGAGAAATAAGGATTATTGTGTCTTCAGAACGGTTTTTAGATCCTTATTGACAAGAATTAACTTTTGTAGGAACTTTTTTCTGCCGAAAATTTAGAAAAATATCAAATTTGTTATCCGCAAATGGCATCCCCTCACCAGTTTTTTATTCCCTTATTGATGAATGTTTCCGTGCCATTCGAGCTCGAACCGTGCAAATTTTGCCCAACATCTAAGTTGCCCATGCGAACTCTGCACTTATCGTGACCTGTTGGATCGTCTGCATTGTGTCTGAAAGTCATCACTCCACGACATCGAGTGATGTATTCCATTTCGAGGTCATAGCTCATTATCATCATGTTAGCAGCAGGTGGGGTCCACCCTGGATATCCAAAATGGAGAATTGTGTCACTTTTCAAAAAAAAGTATTTACCTTCTTTTGGCCTGGTTTCTTTGCCTGATGCTACGTAGTCCCGAAATTTGTTATGTTCGTTGAGGACGGTCGTTCTGAATTCCATGTAAGGCACATGCCTCATTTCCTCTCGTGGTGGTGTTCTGGCACACTTGCAAGCAGAGTGTACGTTCTCACCGCAGTTCAGTGTGCAGTAGTCGAACTTGGTGTACTCGTTCGGTTTATCTTCGTAAGCCAGTGTCGGGTGGGAAATAGACAGAACTAGAAAGAGTAAAGTAGGGTACATTGTTTTGCATTTCGCGAAAAAAAAAAGAAGTTTTAATAGATTGACATAACTATAAAAGTTTTGTTTCTATGGTGACTTTATTTATGTGTCAAGTTTCGGAAAGCGTGTGCCAACTTCTTTGGTTAATACTTCATAGTGTACCTAAATAATATAATGATAAGAGTAGAGCAAACACTAGCTAATTTACACAATATAAAAAAAAATGGTCTAAAGAGTTTAGACAGTACTTCCCTCGCTGTCGGAAACTTGACGACTGCATGCCTATTGTGTTTTTTTTCTCATTACATTTTTATAGTGGGAATTTAAAAAAAAATTGCGATTGCGTCATCAACATTTTTGCAAGGACACGTATATCAGTTGGGATAGATGTAGTGTAATACTAAGAATAAAATTATTATATTCTCAAATTTTCGGGAAAATGAATTGGGTCGTTTTGAATATTGATTTGTAATAATCAATAAAATAACGAAACAATTTACTCACGTATAGGTATCAGAGGCAACTGAAAATCGTGTATGTATAAACATTCTTAATTTAAGATGACAGGCGTAACAGCATACGTGAGAGTCAAACAGAGAAACTGTAAACAAAACGACCATCGGTTTTATTGCTTCGACTTCCGCTTATTGTATAAAACATTGGGTTTTATTTTAATTCTTGACGGTGAAATTCACAATTGGTTGATTATAAACATGTCTATTTCACATTCGCGGAACCAAGTGAACGCATAAAACAAATGCAGGTCTGTAATGTTAAAGTCGATGTAAATAAGCGTGCTACCCTTATGTTTCAACCGAGTTTTTCCTTTAACAAATTTTGTGTCTACCAAATTGGGTTGGTTGGGGTGTAATACTAATAATAAGTGTTGCCTTTAATTTAATCAATAAAATAAATTGACTTCATTAATTTTTTTGAACCACCTCTTAAGAAAATCTAAAAAATATGAATGGAATGATAAATCACAAGTACAAACTCATCATATTTTTTGCATTTTAGATAGGATTTATTCAGCAAAATTTAAGGGTGACGTCATCAATTTTTTTAGGAGGGATGAACAAATACATTTTGAACAAAAGTTTACCATGCTTATAATAACTTTAAAATATTCCCAAGATTTCAAAGCATTCGGTTTTGTAATTCCTGATTAAATCGATAAAATAAATTCACGCCTTCATTAATTTTTTTGAGTCACCCTGCATATGCAAATCCAAAAATATGAATGGAATGATAAATCACAAGTACAGACTCATCATATTTTGTACATTTTAGATACGATTTATTCGGCAAACTTTTGAGCTGACGTCATCAGTTTTTTGTAGAAGATAACCAAATATATTTTGACTAAAAATTAATTATGCTCTTTATAACCTTAAAACATCTGCAAGATTTCAAAGCATTCGGTTTTGTAGTTCCTGATTAAATCAATAAAATAAATTTACGCATTCATTAATTTTTTTGAGTCACCCTGCATATGCAAATCGAAAAAATTTGAATGGAATGATAAATCACAAGAAGAGACTCACCATATTTTGTACATTTTAGATAGGATTTTTTCAGCAAAATTTTGTGGTGACATCATAAATTTTTTAGGGGGGACGACCAAATACGTTTTGATAAAAAATTTACCATGCCTATGATAATTTTAAAATATCTTCAAGATTTCGAAGCATTCGGTTTTGTAGTTCCTGAGTAAATCAGTAAAATAAATTTACGCTTTCATTTATTTTCTTGAATCACCCTGTATATGCAAATCCAAAAAATATTAATGGAGTGACAGATCACAAGTACAGACTCATCATATTTTGTACATTTTAGATATGATTTATTCCAGAAACTTTTGAGCTGACGTCATCAAGTTTTTGGAGGGGATAAGCAAATATTTTTTGACTAAAGATTTATGATGCTCTTTATAGCCTTAAAACATCTGCAACATTTCAAAGCATTCTGGTTAGCAAATTAAAAATTAAATTTCAAAATGTTGTTTTATAATTTTGATTTTTTTTCCAAAAATCTGGACGTTTCGGGTGAAAAGTCGATTCAGAGTTGTAAACTACATGTGTAGGACTATGTTATTTTATACAATTGAAAACCCATTTACTATGTACAATTTTGAAGTGACGTCATCGCATTAGTGGTGGGGATGATTAGACAAATTTTGGTTAGCGTTTTACCATCTACATGATATTCTTAATATAAGTACAAAATTTCACAACAATCGGTCGAGTACTTTCGGAGATTATCTGTCTAATAAAAATCCGGGACAAAGGCGGACAGACGGACAGACGGACGGACAGACGGACGGACAGACGGACGGACAGACGGACAGACGGACAGACAGACGGAAATGGGAGATCTATTTCTTCGTCTTCTAGGGGTCATGAAAAATCGAGAAGACGTAAAAGTAGAGAGTCGGCCGACGGACTCGATTACAATACTTCCTTTGCTTACGCTCGGGAAGTAAAAATAGCGAAGATAATTATTTCTCATCTCGAAATTTGTCAGTAAAATAGTTTTATTATAAACTGAAGAAATTTTGGACAACGAAAGTGTTACTCTTTATTTTTTTTCAAATTTTTGATTTGCATTTTCAACCAAATGCCTCATTGCATTATTTTAATTTTCGATGTTGTAATTCACATTTGGTTAATTATAACTTGTCTAGCCTCCCCCTAACTACGGCCTTGTCTAGAGGTTATGAAATATCGAGAAAATATGAAAGTACCAAATTGCCCAATGGACTCCATTACTATACGTCCTTAGGTTATCCTCGATAAGAAAAACAACTTGAAAGTATTTATGTTTATATACTTCTGACTTGGTTTTAAATCTTCAATTCTACGGTTTGTCGAAATAGAATTCAGTTTCCATTTTATAGTAAATAAAACAAATCACTGAGTTTAGTTTGTTTCTACAGATTCTTATAAGCAAGTAGTAGCCCCGCCCACCCACCCCCTCTTCATTTTAATGACTACTCGTAATATTGTTCATTCTTATTCTAGCAAGAACTAGGCAAAATGTAGCCCCGCCCACCCGCCCTATCTCAATTGTGATTATTTTTTTTATTCGTCGTGACGCAAAAAGGCGGAGTTTAACCGCAAAATCCTTATTTCTCTACGAGAAATTAAAAACATGTTTTTGAGTATCGTCTTGTTCAAAGAATACTACGTAAGTATATTAAGAAAAAAATAAAGACAAAAATTAAGCCCCACCCATACCCACCCCGATCTCAGTTCTCAATTGTGACGAAGTTTTCATTCACTCTTCAATTTCTGCTGTTTCAACTTTCGAATTCTCAGTTTTTCGAAATTTTAGTTTGGGAACTTTTCAGTTTAGTCCTATTTATTTTTCGATTTTTGGATTTTACAGGTTCTCAATTTTTCAATTTCTCGGTTTTCCGTTTTTCTCTTCAATTTTACGATTTTTAAATATTTCGATTTTTCAATTTTTGACTTTTATAAACTTTTTATTTGTCGATTTTTCAATTAATTGATTTTCAGGTTTTTTGGTTTTCAATTTTTCTATTTTTTCAGGTTTCGATTTTTCAATTTCACTTGTTTGATTTTTTGATTTCTCAATTTTTCAATATTTTAATTTCCCAGTTTTTGGACATTTCAGTTTCGGGATTTTTCAGTTTACTTATTATTCAATTTTTCGATCTTACGATTTTGCAGGTTTTTGATTTTTCAAATTTCCATTTTTTCAAAGGTTTCGATATTTCGACTTCACTTTTTTGATTTTTCGATTTCTCAATTTTTCGTTTCATTAGATTCTCAGTTTTTGGATATTTCAGTTTTGGGATTTTTCGGTTTTCCGATTCGTCAGTTTTTCTTTCATTTTTCAGCTTTTCGATATTTCAGTTTTGGGATTTTTAATATTTCTGTTCTTCGACTTTTCCATTTTTGACGTCTGGATTTTTCGATGTCTCGACTTTTTACTTTTTCGATTTTTAAATTTTAGATTTCTCAATTTTTTGGTATTTTAATTTTTCAATATTTAAAATTTTAGATTTTTCGATTTCTCCATTTTTCATTTCAGCTCTAGCATATTTCAATTTTTTAAATGTTTCGATTTCTTAATCTTTCGATTTTTTGACTTCCCGGTTTTAGGTTTTCTGTTTTTCAATTGTCGTTTTTTCAATTTTTCGATTTTTAGATTTTAGATTTTTCAGTGTTTTGATATTTTAATTTTTCAATATTTAAAATTTTAGATTTTTCGATTTCTCGATTTTTCATTTCAGTTCTTCGATATTTCAGTTTTTCAAGTTTTCGAATTTTTCAAATGTTTTGATTTCTTAATCAATCGATTTTTCGACTTACCTGTTTTAGATTCTCTGCTTTTCAATTGTCGTTTTTTCAAATTTTCGATTTTTCAATTTTTCAAATTTGATATTTACAAACTGTCAATTTTTCGATTTTTCAATTAATCTATGTTTTGATTTTCCCATTTCTTGACTTTCGAGGGTTTCGATATTCCTGTTCTTCAATTCTTTTAAGTTTTTGTTTTTTTATTTTTTTATTTTTTTAAGGTTTCAATTTTTCGACTTCACTTTTTGGAATTTTCTATTGCTCAATTTTTCGACTTTTTAGGTTCTCAGTGTTTGGATTTTTCAGGTTTTCCATTTTTCAGTTTTTCTTTCGTTTTTCAGTTTTTTGATATTTCAGTTTTGGGATTTTTCAATATTTTGATTCTTCGACTTTTCGATTTTTGACTTCTAGAGTTTTCGATGTGTCGATCTTTTTACTTTTTCGATTTTTCAATGTTTCGATTGTTTAATCTTTCGATTTTTTTGACTTCCCGGTTTTAGATTTTCTGTTTTCAATTGTCGTTTTAAATTTTTCGATTTTTCAATGTTTTGATTTCCCGATTTAGTTCCCTATTTTTAGTTTTTCTTTCAATTTTCAGTTCTTCTATATTTCAATTTTTCCAAATTTTCGAATTTTTCAAATCTTTCGATTTCTTAATCTTTTTGATTTTTACTTTCCGAGCGTAAGCAAAGGAAGTATTGTAATTGAGTCCGTCGGCCGACTCTCTACTTTTACGTTTTCTCGATCTTTCA